GCTGCAAGATCAAAGAAGAAACGTCGCTTCTTGGTGCGGAAAGTCCTAAGAAAGAGAGAATTCTTTGCTAAAGCGATCGAAAAAACAATCGTATTTTCTAATTTCTTGCATAAACTGTTCCATGTCACTTTCACCTTCCATCTTGTCAAAACACACGCACCCGTAAAAAGTGATAAACAACTAGTTGTCATGGTATCATGACGCTGTGTGACTTTTTATGCGCCGCAACTAAAACTCATGGCAAATTCAGCATAACAAAAGGTAACTAAACAGGTTTACAACGTGAAAACGCAGCTATCTTTCATGCATTATGGTTCATTATTATTCATACCACTCAGTACAACAAAAAAAAGTTAACAACACTTAATTTTAGTCACGCGCGTTATCGAGTGAATGAGTCGAGCGCTTGAGTGTCTTTGTACAAAATTCGTGTAACATGCCCTGACATCGGTTCCGTGTTTTAGGATTTGGGATCATTTTCCGTCGTTCCGTGTTTTAGGATTTGGGGTCAATTTCCGCCGTTTTGTGTTTTAGGATTTGTGGTCATTTTCTGCCATTCCGCCATTCCGCCGTTCCACCGTTCTAACTTTTAGGATCACCCGTTGAATAACGGGTTAGTTTTGACCTATTTTTAATCTTTTTAGAAGAAGGTCGGATAAATTCAACTAGATTGTGTAAATTAACGATCAAGAATTGCTCAAATTGCCGTCAACACATGTATTGATGTTGTTTTTCAAGATTTGGTACGTTTTATTGGTCCACGTGTTTTCAATTCGTGGCGCAACACTTCGAGATTCGTCTGAAATTTTGAGCTTTAAAAGCGGCATTTCGGCGAAATTCAGTTATTATCGATTTTCTCGAAAATAAATCGATACGCGATATTCAGCCAAACGAAGTATGCAGTGCTTTGTTTCACCATAAGACCTACCTAACTCAAAAATATGAACCGAATCTAGTTTGGCTGTTGCCACCATATTTTGAAAATGTTCGATTTTTGGCCACATTTGCTCTCAACCCCGCTACAGATCTAGACTTCAAAATTTTTGCCAATCGCAGCGATCTTTTTAAACTTGGGATTTCTTTTTTAGCAGATCCGCACTGGTATTCTTAGAATTAAATTGCTTCGACCAATCTTTCCTGAGTAAATATACAAAAGTTTTAGAGAAGGTTTTTGCTGACTGAATTGCAATTTGGACGAGATTATGTTTACTGCAATAGCTGGAGGCCAGAACTTTCTTCTTGTCCTTCATTTTTCCTTTTTTATACTATTTTAGTATCGATGAAATCTTTCCATTTTTTATTTCCTTCTTACCAATGTATTCAATGGATCTTTTTGCATCAGTGTGTGACTCAGTAATACAAGGAGGGCTGGGATACACCTTTCATCGTGACATAGTCCCACTCCCATCTCCAAAGGGTGCTGTTTGCTCAGAAGGGCAAGCAATCACTCACCGTTCACTTCCAGGACGCTTGCTGTTTCGTTTAGCCATCGTTAGAAGCAAACAGGCGTCGCCTTTGATGACAGATATATTCAATTACAAGACTCGTGATTGACATCGATTTCGTACAGTGATTAAAAGTGTTAACTTATCATGTTTTACACCAGTTTTCAGAGGAATCATTAAGAGAGAGAAGTCAGTTTTTATAGTCTGTTCGCTTACCTGAATCTGCTAGAGAGAAACCTGTTTTTACGACCCGCCACAGAAGTAAGTTTCCAATCACGTTTTTGAATTTTGCTACGAGTTAAGACCTTATTTGTGTTTTTCTGCTGTCGAATTACAAATGCATTTTCTTTTCAAATCGAATAGTTATTAAAGCTTGGCCATACGGTTTGTGGTGGTCGTCTGAGCTGACCAGTTCCGAGTTAGGAGACACTTGCTAATCCTTACTGCGTATGTTCGTTGTAAATCCAGAAATAAGTCTATTCACTATTTATTAAGAGCTTTGTTGGGATGAAGAAGGTGTCAATAAACAGATTACTTGTTCGTGAAGAGTTGATATAATAGATGAAGCGATTCACGTAGCACTCTTAATCATTGGTCGCTTCTGAACATTTCGATTGCTGTACGAAAATGAAAGAGGGAAAGCAAGGCGTTGTGCTGAAGCTTTTTTTTTGCTGATAATAGTTCCTCAGCTGTCAAGTTTCGAGGTCGTCCATGAAAAACGCGTTGAAGAATATGTCATAGAGAGAAGAGGTGCTGATAACAACGATTTGTTCATTTGAAATATAAGAAAGGATTTCACTATACCTTAAAAATCCAGACCGCGTGTATGAATGGTGCAATATAGACTGACAGAAAGCAAGCGTCAATAATGCGGTGACCACAAAAGGCAAGTCTTGTGGTTACTCTNCCGAATCTAGTTTGGCTGTTGCCACCATATTTTGAAAATGTTCGATTTTTGGCCACATTTGCTCTCAACCCCGCTACAGATCTAGACTTCAAAATTTTTGCCAATCGCAGCGATCTTTTTAAACTTGGGATTTCTTTTTTAGCAGATCCGCACTGGTATTCTTAGAATTAAATTGCTTCGACCAATCTTTCCTGAGTAAATATACAAAAGTTTTAGAGAAGGTTTTTGCTGACTGAATTGCAATTTGGACGAGATTATGTTTACTGCAATAGCTGGAGGCCAGAACTTTCTTCTTGTCCTTCATTTTTCCTTTTTTATACTATTTTAGTATCGATGAAATCTTTCCATTTTTTATTTCCTTCTTACCAATGTATTCAATGGATCTTTTTGCATCAGTGTGTGACTCAGTAATACAAGGAGGGCTGGGATACACCTTTCATCGTGACATAGTCCCACTCCCATCTCCAAAGGGTGCTGTTTGCTCAGAAGGGCAAGCAATCACTCACCGTTCACTTCCAGGACGCTTGCTGTTTCGTTTAGCCATCGTTAGAAGCAAACAGGCGTCGCCTTTGATGACAGATATATTCAATTACAAGACTCGTGATTGACATCGATTTCGTACAGTGATTAAAAGTGTTAACTTATCATGTTTTACACCAGTTTTCAGAGGAATCAATAAGAGAGAGAAGTCGGTTTTTATAATCTGTTCGCTTACCTGAATCTGCTAACCTGAAGAGAGAAACCTGTTTCTACGACCCGCCACAGAAGTAAGTTTCCAATTACGTTTTTGAATTTTGCTACGAGTTAAGACCTTATTTGTGTTTATCTGATGTCGAATTACAAATGTAGTTTTTTTTTTCAAATCGAATAATTATGAAAGCTTGGCCATACGGTTTGTGGTGGTCGTCTGAGCTGACCGGTTCCGAGTTAGAAAACACTTGCTAATCCTTACTGCGTATGTTCGTTGTAAATCCAGAAATAAGTCTATTCACTATTTATTAAGAGCTTTGTTGGGATGAAGAAGGTGTCAGTAAACAGATTACTTGTTCGTGAAGAGTTGATATAATAGATGAAGCGATTCACGTAGCACTCTTAATCATTGGTCGCTTCTGAACATTTCGATTGCTGTATGAAAATGAAAGAGGGAAAGCAAGGCGTTGTGCTGAAGCTTTTTTTTTGCTGATAATAGTTCCTCAGCTGTCAAGTTTCGAGGTCGTCCATGAAAAACGCGTTGAAGAATATATCAAAGAGAGAAGAGGTGCTGATAACAACGATTTGTTCATTTGAAATATAAGAAAGGATTTCACTATACCTTAAAAATCCAGACCGCGTGTATGAATGGTGCAATATAGACTGACAGAAAGCAAGCGTCAATAATGCGGTGACCACAAAAGGCAAGTCTTGTGGTTACTCTTTCTCGCACGGCTTTGCA